TATCAGAAGTTGCAGGACACAGCTAAAGTGGTATAAAGAGAAAAACTTACGGCAATAAAGGCTTATATTGAAACACAGGAAAGGTCTTCAATCATAATCTAATCCTAGTTTATGCTTTCATCTTAAGAACATAGAAAAAAGAAAAATAATGCAAAGTAAGCAAAATAGAAATAATCGAGATCCTTATGCATGGATGGGAGCTGCGAGCCTAGCGCTTGTGCTTCTGAGTGTGGCCGTCAGCTGGAGAAGAAACCATCTCCTCTCTTCCTGAGTTGGCTCCAGCCAGCACTGCAGCTGCCCCAAAACTGTGACATGTGCCACCATGCCCAGATCATAGGGCCTTTGGGGGCTCTTTCAAAAGCCATAAAGACCAAGCTCTTCTTAAAGTACACAAGCATCTGTGAAAACTGAAAGGGGAGGTACCAAGGTCTGTTTCAGAAGCTGGACCCCGCTCCCCTTTGGACTTCAGGAGGAGGTAGACAAAAGCATCTACATAAAAGGAAGAGGGTCAAAAGGCCTTCTGGGAGCACCACTGCTTCAAAAAGCAAAGTTCATGCGTGGGGATTAATGATCTGAAGACATCAAAAAGCAGCAGAGTGTAAGAAGTGCTGTTAAAGGGAGGACAGGTGAGGCGTGGTGGTTCATGCCTGTAATCCCTGCACTTTGGGAGGCAGAGGCAGGTAGATCACCTGAGATCAGGAGTTCAAGACCAGCCTGACCAACATGGCGAAATCCCATCTCTACTGAAAATACAAAATTTAGCCGGGTGTGGTGGCGGACACCTGTAATTCCAACTACTTGGGAGGCTGAGGCAGGAGAATTGCTTGAACCCAAGGAGGCGGAGGTTGCAATGAGCCAAGATCACGCCACTACACTCCAGCCTGAGCAGCAAGAGCCAAACTCCATCTCAAAAAATAAAAACGCAATTAAAAAAAAAAGGGGGGGAAGACAGTACTGTTTAGACAGAGGTGGATCAGGTGGAGACACTCACTGGGAGTTGGTGCCTGAAGCCCCTGCAGGGCGGTATACCAGCAGCCACACCTCTCACTGTTCCTGATGCCACCGGCTACCTGCCAGCCCTGTGTCACTCTCTAAGGTATGGGGTAGGCTGCAGAACTCCCCATGTGGGTCACACTCTACTGGGGACGGAGCCCCATCTGTGCTCCCGTTGTGCCCTATGCCATCAGTGGCCACACACAGGGTGCTGGTGCCAGTGAATGTTGGCGGAATGGATAAGCAGCAAGGGTGGGCTCAGGAAGCCCCCGCATTTCCAACCCAACATAACCACCACACTTTGCTTCTTTTTGCTAAGTGTCACTGGCAGGTCCTTCTGTCCATAGTTACCTCTTCTTCCCACTCTGAGACCAGAGCTGGGGTGCAGGCTACCAGGTGCTACGCACCTGCCAATTGTGCTCTTTAATAAAACTCTGAAATGGGCGTGGCCACTGGCCACAACAGGAGACTGACCACAGAGACCTGCACGCAGAGGGGGATGCCAGACCTACACGTCAGACTGCTTCAAACAGCAGAGCTTCAGCCCAAGTCCTAACTCCTCCCCATAGGAGCTCATTATCAAAACACCCACAAGCCCCTTCAGAAGGTTGTCTGGGGGACCCTGGTGAAGATGGGATGGATTCCAAGCCCCTTCCTGCTCAGACCCACCCCACCATCAGCAGGATGGTACTGGATCTCAGCTTAACGCAAAACAGGTCAGTGTGGACCTGGGAAAAGGTGTCCTCAGGGGCATAACACAGACCCAGCGTCCCTTCGGAAGAAAAACCGAGGCCTCCAGACCCCTCCTCTGGCCTCCCACCCCTGGATGGGTGCTCAGAGTCCTCCCCAGGCAGGAAGACCTGGGGTCCTTCAAAGTCAAAGTGGTCCTGGGTCAACCACCCACCAGGCAGGATGGATCCTGGGAAGAGCAGCAGCTGGGGCAAGTTTTAATAATTTTAATCAGCTTCCTGCCCAGGAAGAATGGCGCCAGGGTAGGATTCCTCCTTACCCAATTAAACACATTGGATCAGTCCAGCTAAAGACGCTCAACCTCAAACTCAGCCACAGGCTGAGCACTAAGGCCAGCAAGGTCTGCAAAGCCTCCTGATCCAGCACATTCGCGACCTTCCCCTTCAGTCACATCCTTCATCCTGAGCTGGCCCGGGTCACTTTCCCTAGGTTTGAATTCAGCTTCACTTTGAGGCCCGGTTTTTCTGGAGACTAATTCTCTGTGCCAAGGAGGGGGTTTTCCATGATGCCCCTGCCCGCTGTGCTTGCTTGGAAACTGGCAACCACAGGACATTCCTGATGTCACGTCCTGGGGTCATCAACCCCAGGCAATCAAGAACTCGGCACCCGAGAGCCTTCCAGAGGGACCCCAAAGGAAAGCAAGCATGGCCCCTGCCTGCAGCAGACCGGTGTCTGATAAATACAAGTCGTCTGCAAAGAAAGCAGCCCCGGCAGCTCCTGGGGCTGAGGTGCAGGACAGGACAGGAGACACCTCCGGTCTCCGACTCCCAAAGCACGTCTAGCTCACATCACTCAGAGCTCAGCTTGGGGTGCCAGGCCAACAGGGCCATGTTGAGATAAGAAACACCTGCCCAAGAGGTTCATGGAAGACGCCTAGGAGGCCAATATAGGCTCTTTCAAAAACAGTCATCTCGGTGGCTGGTGTCCTGAACTTATTCAATCCCTGTATTAAAGAGGGCTGTTTCAGGGTCCAAGTGGAAAATTAACACCACCATCCAGCCCACATCCTAGCTTGCCTGTCTGGAAACTGAGGAGTCAAGGAAAAATAAAAAGATATGGCATTGGTCCTGAATGGAATTCAGTTCATGAAAGCCCACAGTCCACACGGAAGCCCACATTCCACACAGAAGCCCACAGTCCACATGGAAGCTCAGAGTCCACACGGAAGCCCACAGTCCACACGGAAGCCCACAGTCCACACGGAAGCTCAGAGTCCACATGGAAGCCCACAGTCCACATGGAAACCCACAGTCCACACAGAAACACAGTCCACATGGAAGCCCACAGGTCCATATGGAAGTCCAGAGTCCACACAGAAGCCCACAGTCCACATGGAAACCCACAGTCCACACAGAAACACAGTCCACACGGAAGCCCACAGTGCAGTCCACACAGAAGCCCACAGTCCACACAGAAGTCCACAGTCCACGTGGAAGCCCAGAGTCCACACGGAAGTCCACAGTCCACGCAGAAGCCCACAGTCCACACGGAAGCCCACAGTCCACGCAGAAGTCCACAGTCCACACGGAAGCCCACAGTCCACGCAGAAGTCCACAGTCCACACGGAAGCCCACAGTCCCCACGGAAGCCCACAGTCCACGCGGAAGCCCACAGTCCACACGGAAGCCCACAGTCCACACAGAAGCCCACAGTCCACGTGGAAGCCCAGAGTCCACACAGAAGTCCACGTGGAAGCCCAGAGTCCACACAGAAGCCCACAGGCCACACGGAAGCCCACAGTCAAGATCAACCTTCCAAGAGCGTGTATAGGACATTTACTTCTCTTAGAGCAGCTGGATCCAAAATACGGGGACTGAGGCACAGCTGACTCTGGTAGCTCTCTTGCTGTGGGACCACCACCTGGTCATTTGGATATCATCAGTTAGGACCTAAAGCAGTAAGGCCTTCCTAGGGCTGTCGGGAGAGAAACTGGAGCTCCGTGCGTGTTCTCTGCCACAGCATGCCCTTAGGTTTGACAGGGGTGCCCTCGACTCACAGGAGAGGCACGGAAACCTCGGGAATAACAGGCTTGCCAGTGTGCTCCACCCACCCTCAGCCTTAAGAAGGAACGTGAATGTGGCAGGAGTCTTGTCTTCTACAAGCACAGAATGACCCACTTTGTGGGATTCTTAGGGAACCTCACCCAAACGCCGGCCTTTTGCCGGTAATGCTGTGAAGGTAAACTGAGGGTCCTTCCTTGGCCCAGCTCACTTTCCTCTTCTGCTCTCTTCTCGGGAACTGAGGTGGCGTTTTACCACAGACCTGCTCAAAGGCCTGGATCCGCTGAGAGGACTCTCAAATCTACAACTCCAGGCTTGGTTTGGAACAAGAAAACTGTTTTGTGACTGGCTCTCCCACACTGTGAAAAACAAAATCAATGGCAGCAGCAAGCATTTACATCCCCAGGTGCTTGCATGGTTTCCTGGCCAGTCTCATCTACATCTCCGCAAACATCAGTACGACAATGTATTGCCAAGTTACCTGTGATACCCTTTCCACCACAGCCCTGCCAGCCCCCGTCAGCAGTGGATTTTCTTTGAACAACTGTAGAAACTGAGGCATGGTGCAATAACTTCAAAGAAGAGTGAATTAGTAACTTAATAAGCTGTCGTTTCCCAAGAACCCGGAGTTCCTTGCATAAGAAGTTATATCAATGAGCGATGCGTGATTCTTGATTAAGTTTTAAAGAGAAGACACCATCCAATCAACGCGCAGGTAGGTGGTGAGGCCTCAAGCCATAAAGATGACCTATTCTTTAAAAGGAAAACAAGGAGCAAAAAAGTCCAGCCGGTTACCCCACGTAGCCAGGAAGCACCCGGCCGCTGCAGGCCTCCCAGGCTGTGCAGACAGCTCTCTGTGCTGTGTCCGTGGGATTCTCACCACAGCCGGCAATACACAGACTCAGCCTGGCCTCCCCACCGCACCCCACCACGGCTGCTGTGTGAACAAGCATCCGCTTTACATACGGGATGAAACACACACCCATGCTTTAAAGGAGAAACCTACTACTCGGAACGCAGGCCCAAGCCTCCTCCAAATGTGTGCATGAGCACGAACGTGAAAACGGACAAATGAAGCATCTTCCTCTATGATCGTCCCTGCACCCTCAGAGGACAGACCCCAACCTGTCAACTTCCCAGCCGCATACGTGTGCGCGTTAAATATAGAAGAGCACCCAGGTGGAAAGAGCCTGCACAGAAGGCAGCCTGAAACGAAACCCACAAAGCCTCTGCAGCATTCAGAAAATAAACACTCACATTCCAAAGCTCCCTGTCGGCTCCTCTCTCCCATCGCTCGACTGTGAGAATCTTTCCCAGCTCGTCCAAGACTCAGTCCGGCTTTTGCGCAAATCAGCTCCAAGCTTCTATGACTCAGCAAAGAGCTCGGCTTTTATTTTTCAGATGGAATTTACCATGCTGTGACTACATCCAGGGGGAGGAACCATTTCCCCGAGCTGTTTCCGAGCAGAGCCCGTGAGCCAGATCGCCCAAGCGCTCCCTGTGCACAGTTAAGGCCAAGCACAGAGGCACCCTCTGAGCCCCCAGCCCAGCTCCCTGCAGGGCGCAAACAGACGCTTCAGGCTTCTTGGTGGGGAAGGGGCCTGCAGCTCTGCACGGCTGGCCAAAGGCACAGCCACGCAGGTGAGATCCTGGCAGCAGCTTGGTTCTATTCAGATGCAGAGGTGGCCTGGGCTCCGGGTTGGCCCGGCGGCAGTCTCAGGTGAAAATCAGCGAGCGGCAGAGGCCACGGCTGGGCCACCCCCGCCCGCGCTGCTCCCTTGGCTTCCTGGCTGCTCCAGGACCCGGTTCTGGCCGGCTTTCCCTCCTGCTTGGAGAACCCCCTTCAGGATTGCAGAGCGAGCGGGTCAACAATGGGAACGAATTTCCACTCTGAGGGTATCTATTTTAAATGTCAGGTGATAGGAGGGATTCGCACCCACTCAACTGGGAGGAATGAAAATGCAGACGGGAACCAGACACACGAGACCAGCAGCATTCCTGTGTGAAGGACAAGCACATGAGCTCTCCTGGCCCATCAGTCCCAGATGCAGTCCCTAACCACCCTCTGGAAAAGCCGTGTAACTGAAGCTGCTCCGTAGGAAACGCAGGGTCCGACAGGGTTTCCACGCAGGAGGGCTTTTGGAGTCCGTGTGGGTCCGATTCCATCAAAGGAGCCCTGAGGGCTGCTGGTGCGGGTGGCCTGAAGCTCCTGCCCTGCCCTGTCTCCAGCCACCAGGGCCTACGCTGAGGCTGCATCGGAGCCTGGACCCCAGAGCATGCCCAGGTTCTGGTGGTCAGCCTGGGAGGACCCTACATCCCCTTTGTTCCCAGCCCACTCTGCCTCAGTCCCCTCGCCTGCACCCTGCCTGCCCTCTCAACCCACCTCTTCTAGTCAAGGCCAAATGTCACTTCACCCCAAAGCTGAGACTGGCCGGCACCACCCCGAGAGGAGCCCAGAGTGAACGCCGATGACAGCATGTCAGAGGATGACACGGGGCAGGCCAGGACTTCCGGTTGTATCTGCTGTCTGTCTAGATCTGGCCACCCTCGTAAGTTAGAACAAGCAACAAAATTGTCCTGATTACAAGCATGGCCATACGTCTGGCCAAACGTCCAGGGTGCAACAACCCTCCGAGGGTCACGCGTCCTGACTCGTGTGACAGAGCTGCCCACTGTCCCTGGTTACAAACCATCGCTGCCTCTGTCACAGGGGAGGAGGCTGGAGCCGGGAGGCCATGCAGCTGCCTCACAATCACATATCCCTGTCAGGTCCCGGAGCTGGATTCAGACCCAGGACGGTGGGTCCGAGATCCAAACCCCTCCCATGTCGCCCCAAAGCAAAGAGGGTTCCCACGCCTGTGGCTTGGGGCCCGTGCCCATCCCTGTGGGTGGTTCCTCCTCAGCCCAGGCAGGCCACGGGGACAACCTTCCCAACACAGGCAGTGCCCCCTCAGCCCAGCTGTCCTCCTGCTGGAATCGATCCCGCAGAAACAACACAAGGATGGTGTGTGCACAGATTTGACTTTAGTCCAAATACTTTATAGCACCTACCCCGTGCCAGGCACTGTTGGAAGACTTTAAATATAACTCAGGGATGATCATGGCAATGTTGTCCATAATATAACAGTGAATAATTGGAAACGTCCTAGACGTCCAACAACAGAGAAGCGATTTAACAAGCGATGGGAAACGCACATACATCCAAATACAATGGGGCCATTTAAAAATGTCCCCAGTCCAAGCTTAACAGAAAGATGTAAACAACGTGTTAAGTTTTTTAAAGCCAGCTATAAAAACGCGTGTCTAGTATGATCACATTTGTTTTTAAAAATGCATGCCTCTGTGTGTTGCACTCGAAAAAAATAAAGCCCGAAAGTGTCGATACCAAGCTCTAAAGTGGCCGTATCTCTAGGTGATAGGATCTCAGGTGACTTGATATTTTGTTTTGTATCTTTCTGAATTGTATGGGTTTTTTTTTTTTTAAGAATCGGAAACAATATTTTTAGAATCAGAAAAAAAAATCTGTTTTCATTTTCGAACTAATGCACATGCATGTATGTGCTTTTGATTCCTGCAGTAAGCATGGCCCTTGCAGATGCTCAGTCCTTACACCAAGCCCAGAGGGAGACACTGCCTCTTCCGAATCCCCACGTTGGCCGAGGCGGGGAGCGGGCGGGTGCTGGGGCCTGACGTTCAAGCTCAGGGAGTAGCCTGTTCTTTAAATGGCATCAATTTTTCTAGTTGTAAAAGTGAAATGTGCTCATTGTAGAGGATTTGGAAAATAAAGAAATAGATGAATAAGAAAACCATCCTTGCTAGTCTGTGAGAAGCTGAGCTTGAGCAGGGCCTCCCAGCCACATTGCCAGCTCCACCCTAATCCTTCCAGATCCCGGAAACTGAGCCTCAGCACCCGGGACAGAGCCGGCACCCCCAGGACGTGTTCCGAGGAAAGGAGGCTTAAACAGCAGGGTTCACTTGTGTCACAGACAGGGTCTGGGAAAACCGCAACCTCCAGAGGGTCTCTATGTCTCACATGGCTGCCTCGCCAGGCACCACAAGGCCCAGGTCCAATCCCACAGCCCATCCCTGGCTTCCCTTTCCCACCCACAGGCAGTTGCCACTTGTCCTTTCTGGGGGAGCTTGGTGACTCCCCACGATCACTCCCAAATCCAGGCTCTGCTGCTCCACTGCTGATTCCCAGACCCACCCGTCCTCCTGCCGGCCCGTATCTCCATACTATTCCTCGGGGGCCTCTCAGACCCGGCGGGTCCAAAAATAACCTGCCCCACCCCAAACTTCACTCTTCCTATTATATTGCAGGTCCTGACACAGCCATCCACCAGTTATTATACAAGCAAAACATGGCTGCCCTCCCTTTCTCCTCCCCTCCCAGACAGGCCTGCGCCTCCAGGCCCCGCACACAGCTGTTGGACCCACTACCAACCCAGCTCCTGTCATGCAAAGCTACCTCCTCCTGGAGTCCCGCCAGGACTGCCCCCGGGAGCCCCATCCTCGGTCCCTCCCTCTCATGACTGAGACCTGTTTTTATTCCCATGCATGGCTCTGTATTTTTACTACGTGACTATGAATTCATCACCACTGCTTTTTGTGTTTTGGAAAAACAGCATAATTGGCATCATACCATACATATTCTTTCGCAATTTTCTTTTTTCACTCAACATCATGTCCTTGAGGGCCATCCACACTGGTGCGTGTAGATCTTCATCCGTCTTCGCTGTATCCCCACGTATGAAGTAACCGTGTGTTGTGTTGGTTTCCCACCTCCTCCTGGCTGATGGGGAGTCAGGCGGCTTCTCTTTTCTCATCTTTGTAAATGGTGTTGCCATGAGCGCCCCTGCCTGTGTCTCAGGCCCATCTGCTCAGGTGCCTTCAGAGCAGGCGCTTGAATGGGAGGTGGTGGGGCTGAGGGAGGGACAGCCGTCTTTGACGGTCTCAGCACCGCAGGCTGCTACCCAAAGCAACGACCAGGATGAACGCCTGTCTCCCGACACCTCCCAAGCCTGATGGACAGTGTGAGGGGCGGAGAGGATTTCTCCCTGTTGAATTTAACATGTATTTCCTGAGTACTAATGATCAGCCACTCACTGGCTGCCCAGGTTTCTGCATCTGGGCTCGCCCGGCCCCCCTTCCCCTCTGTCTCTGTGGCTCATCATCCGTGGCTTTGAAGGAGGCTGTTCTGCGATCTGGATAGGAGTCCTGTGTTGGTGAAGCCTCCGCTAGTCTTTGTAATTTTTATGTTGCCTTCCGTTCTCCAGAAACTTTCAAGTGAACCATTTTACCCATGTTTTCCTCTGTTTTATGTTTTTGTTTAGGAAATGTGTGTCTCATACATGAAAACATCTTTCCAGGCTTCCTCCCAAAGGTTTTCACCCTTGGGTCTTCTCCGTGTGGAAGGCCAAGCGTGCACCCTTCCCCACTGAGAGCCCGGTGCTACCCCTGACCTGACAATGCCAGCTTGGGTGGCAGCTCTGCTCCGTTTTCGGGGACCCTAAGTTCTCTACTGTGATGGTCTCTGTCAAGCTCTGCCCCAACGTGCCTCTATTTAGTGATGTAATTTTCAAATTTGGCCTATGTCAACTTACCAAGCTCAAAAACTGGTTTCGATTTTGATGGGAATTATGAGTTTATAGATTAACCGGGAGAGAAATGACATCTCTTTGACATTGAACCTTGCCTGTGAACATAGGATAGTTCTCCATTTATTTAGGACTTCTTTTATGTCTTCAATGAAGTTATATAGCTTTTCCCCAAAAGGTTTTGCACAACTTGTGATACATCTAACTCCTTGGTGCCTAATATTTGTGCTGCCATCACAGCAGGTGTTTGTGCTATTGATACCTTTCCTCACCATAACTAGCAAGAAGGTGGTGTTCAGGAGTCCTACTGACTTCACGTTTACCTTATACTAGCAACTTGCTGAAATCTATTAGTCCTAAGAGTTTGTTTCTATATTCTCTTGTATTTTTTTTCTTGAGATGGAATCTCACTCTGTTGTATAGGCCGGAGTGCAGTGGTGAGATCTCGGCCCATTGCAACCTCCCCCCACCCCCCAGGTTCAGGCGATTCTCCTGCCTCTGCCTCCCAAGTAGCTGGGATTACAGGCACCTGCCACCATGCCCAGCTAATTTTTCTGTTTTTAGTGGAGACGGGGTTTCACCATGTTGGCCAAGCTGGTCTCAAACTCCTGACCTCAAGTGATCCATCCGCCTCAGCCTCCCAAAGTGCTGGGATTACAGGCATGAGCCACTGCGCCTGGCCATTCTCTTGTATTTTCTATGTAGAAAATCATTTGTGAATATTTTTGGTTTTTTCCTTCCAATCTTTATACTTTTACATTATTTTCCTACCTTTTTGTGCTAGGTAGGGTTTCCATGACACGAAACATCATTAGTCATTCAGGAGAGGCAAACTCATTCATGAGAGATAACCAGCACCCCTCTCTCATTCCTGTCTTACAGAAACATGCACCAGGGTCGTTGCAGGATTTTGGTAGGTTCACTACCTCAGCTTAAAAGACTGTATTCCGAATTCGCTAAGTGTTCATTTTTTTAAATTCTGAATGGGTGTTACAATTCATCAAGCACTTTCTCTGCATCTACTAGAATAGCTGTATTGTTCTCTCCCTGTCTCTTCAGAGCCTGCCTGTGCCTGCCCCTGTGACTGCCCAGTCCCCACCCCCAACTCCCAGAACCTGCCTGACCCCCATCTCATTATCAGCCTCCAGCGGGTGGTTTGCAGTCACACGATTGCATTATTTCCAGCCTCAAACTTGGGGAGGCAAAGACCTGGCTCTTCAAAGTCCCCCGAAATGTTCCCCTACCCAGAGTCAGTGGAAACAGACAGTCTGCCCTCTCTTGATGCTGAGGTGGCTTTATTTTGTCCAGTATCACAGGGCACAGTGCATCGAGGGTCCAAGCTCTATGCCAAGGTCTTCGCAGCAGCTTCCTTCAGCAACGTTTTGTCTCCTCTTCCTGTTCCCAAGAGAGCATGAGGATGCAGCCTCTGGCTCCCAGGGACAGCATGGCCTGCCCACCCCAGCAGCTGTGGCTGTGGCTCCAGGGCTCACGGCTCCACTCTCCTCTGTCCTTTTCAGCAACCTAGATCAAACGCTGCCCATCCTCCCTCCCTCTCCCTCCTCCCCCTTCTCTCTCAGTCCCTCTGGTTCTCCAAGGTAAAGTCAGCTTATATCTGGGAATTTGAACACCTGTGAATTGGTAAGGCCAGTGACAAGGGACAGGCAGGGTGGAGCTGGGATGCCCTGGCACTGGCCCCCCTCCCTGGGGACAATTTCTCGCCTGCCTCATTCTTGTAGGTGGGTGGGGCCCTCGCCGCCACCACCACCCCACTAAGCAGCTGCTGCGATCCTCCGAGGCTGCTCTGGCATCTCTGAAGACTGCTGGAGGCTGCATGCCCTGAGGGGTCAGCCTCAGCACCCCCAGACATCAGGATGGTGGGGGCCCAAGAGCCCCAGAAAGGGACAGAGCCTCAGGGCTGGGCCTGGCCTCCTCCTGCACGGGGCAGCTGGGTCATCCTTGCTGTGGTCACCACGCCAGGCTCTGTTAAGTTAGAAATAAACAAACGTGGGCATTTTTCCCCCGACTTGAACAAGTCAATCTCTTGCATCTTCATCTCCAATAAAATGGAAACTATTGGCTCATATCAAAGACTTCAAATGCACAATCCTGTGGCCAGTGCACAGCGTCTCCTGGCAGGCACAGGGCCCAGGCTCCCAAAGCTGCTTCATCACGATGCCCCATGGCACACGTGGCACCAGCAGCAGGTGGGGACGGCACCCAGAGGCTGTCCGAAGGAAGCTCAGCGGGAGGAAAGGCTCCTCCTTTCCATCTGCAGGAAGTTTAGCAAAAGCCACAGAACGTTCGTTTAGGGATGCGGCAGCTGAAAATGCACAGAAGGCAACATCCTGGGTCCCTTTTGTCGCACGCGTGAACAGCCGTTCAGAGTCAGACAGACACAAGCCGGGCATCTGACAGCTCCAACCACTGCAGCCGGAGCTTGTGGCCCTGGGACAGTCCCTTGGTGGCGTGAAGCCAGAGCCAGGCAGCCGGGCACACCTGGGCGCAACATGAAGGGTAACCAAGGAGCCGCACAGGAAGCTCCGTCCAGAATCCTGAACCAGTAGCGCAGATGGTGTCAACTTACAAGGCTTCGACCTTATGATGGGTTTACTGGGGTACTTCATGCAGTTTTGATCATTTGAACGTATGGTGGATTTGTCAGGACATGACCCCCTCGTCTGTCAAGAAGCATCCGGATGCGGCGCCCATCAAGACAACCTGTGATTTCCGCCAGCTGGTGTGTCCCCTCCCCACTGCTCTGGGTAACTGACTATCGATCCTCACACACGTGCAGCCCGAATGACACATAAAAATACTAAGAAGCATCTTT